AATTTGATACATCAATGTGCTTCTGTGTCGAGTCTGCAGTGTCCTGAGGACAATTCGAACTTTCAAGGATTTCAAGTGGTATCGATCGATGACGAAAGTCTTTATCGATCGATTCTGAGATGCTGGTGTCGATCGATGAGGTGGTGGTGATGATCGATGCTGCAGTCGTACTGTCGATCGATGTGGAGGTCGGATCTTTAATATCAGCTTCTTCTACTCTACTCAGTTCTCCAGACTCATCTTGTTCCTCATCCTCCACCATATATTCCAGCATAGAACTCATCTCAATCTCCAAATTTGCTGAAAAACTGCTGAAAATTTTACCTAGGAAGGTGTCTTTGATGTCCTCCTAGCAGGTTAGAGATTTTGGCTGCAGCTTACTGAACCAGCTAAATGCATCTCCGGATAGTGAATGGGGGAAGAGCTTGCAGAGAATGTGGTCTGCAGGTATTAATTTATGTCTGGTTGCTGAGATTACTTCCTCAAGTATCTTGATATGATCTCTAGGGTTTATATTCAGGTAATCAGGATTATAATGCTATATATGCCTAACAAGTTGCATGCATGATATATAAGAACTTCAATTCTTAGACAAATCTATAGTTATCGCTAGTTAGACTCGTCCATTGATCTGAATGCCGACAGTATCGACCGATGTTGCTATCGCAGTTTCGGTCGATATGTGTTGCCGTCGATCGATGACTCTATAGGAGTATCGATCGATATAGCATCGTATCGAATCGAAACTGTGTTCACCAAGATCATTAGGCCGGCTATCGCTGGTGCCTAAGATCTGAGTTTGTGTAGGATGATATCAGGATGAAGATTAATAAATTAAACTATTCCAGTTCATGGTTCTAGTTCATGACTCTGGAAACAAGCATTAAAAAAATCCTAACAATGAATATCACAACTTAGCAATCTATAGTTGGGGCTAATCCCACAACCTATCTGAACCCTAAATCTGACATGTGGATCTATTCAGACATGAAGTTTGTCACAGAAATCATAGATGAATATATAAGAAACTGAAATAGAATAGATATAAAACCAATGGAGTTCCAGGAGGACTCTGATAAGAGTTCCTCCCTTCTCTCCTAACTAAGAGAAACAATAGAAAAGAACTTAGAAAAACTTAGATAGCATGTAGCCGTCAACAATGGCTTATAAATATCATAACTAGGGTTTCTGGTCGTTCAAGGGTATTATGGTAACTTGTGGGCTTCAGTCGGTTATGAAATATAGTCAGCCCACGTTCTGGCATTCATATCGACCGATATGAAGTGTCTCCCATCGATCGACATGCACATATTTTCTCAACAGCCTTCTCTCGCGAGGCAGACTGACCACTCTTCAGTAAAACGGGCATAACTTCTGATCTAACCGTTAGATTGACCTCAAACCGGTGGCATTGGAAATCTAACTCAATGCTATATCTTGTGTCAAAATATGGGCTAAATCTCACCATGGGAAGGTCTCCATCCATATCTAAACATCTGACGCGTCTGCTCAGTTCTGCACTTAAAAGCTCCAAAAGACACTAAAATCACCATATTTCTCCAGGACGTACCTGAACCTGTAAATACTCTAAATAGACTCCAGAACATATATAATTATCATAAAAACATATCAATACCATGATTAAAAGTGGGTCAAAATCATGGTATATCAGTCATATATGGCATGTTTGAGAGGAAAAAAATCAAGTTGTTGCGGATTTGCGTGGTGATCCCTAGAAAGGATACGAAATATTGCCTTCTTATTTGTATATGTAAGAGAAGGTGAACCCAGATACCAAAACAAGTTTGTTACTGGATGAACACAACCGGTTCAAATACCTATTTGTTGCGTTGGGAGCATCCATTGAAGGGTTTGAATTCATAAGAAAAGTCATCACTATGGATGCAACTTTCCTGAAGATTGTTGTAGGTGGTTGTTTAGTTATTTCCACGGCTCAGGATCCAAACCTTCACCATTATCCAATAGCTTTTGATGTCGTTGATGGAGAGAAAAAAGAAAGCTGGAATTGGTTTTTCACGACGCTGAAAACTGTTATTCCAGATTCGACGGAATTGGTTTTTGTTCCAGACAGAAATGCAGGTCTGATAAAAGCTTTTGCTGAAGTGTATCCACTGTCTAAACATGGGTATTGTATCTAGCATCTATCACACAATGTGAAAGGTCATGTCAGACATGGGAAGGACGACATTGCGAAACAATTCAGAAAAAAATGCATGTCTTTATTCAGAGCGTGAGTTTGAAATGTAGTTGCAAGATTTTAGGGAGAGGTAAACAGCGTGTGGTAGGTATGTTGATGAAACTGCCAATGTCAAAAATTGGGCGAAGTGTCATTTCCCCGGTGCAAGGTACAACATAGACACCTCTAATTGTGTGGAGTCTTTGAATGCGCTATTTAAAAAGGCGTGAACCATGTCTTTATTGCCTATGCTTGATACAGTTATTGACAAAATGGCTGAGTGGTTTAACAGACATAGGAAGGATGCAGCAGCTGGACCGGCATCTCGAAAATTGGTTCCTTTATTGGAAAAAAAAATCCATGACAGAACATCGAAAGGTTCAAGACTTGATGTGATTCCGCTGAACACTTTTCAGCTTGAATACTGTGTTATTGGAGAAGATGAGAAGAATTATTTGATGTATTTGCACAAGAAAACGTGCAGTCGCAGGAAGTTTGATATAGATAAATACCTGTGTAGACATGCAATAGGCGCTATCATTAAGTGTTTGAAGCATGATAGAACAATACAGATGAGTGACACGTATGATTTTGTCTCGGATTATTACTTCATTAGAGTGTGGGTTTTGGCGTATCGAAGGACTGTATATTCAGTCCCTCATATGTCTGATTGGATGGTTCCAAAAGAAGTCGCGGATAAGTGTCCCTTATCTCCAGAGTACTTGAAAAAAAAGGAAAACATAAGGAAAACAGGTTTCCTTCGGTAGGAGAAAGTCTGCCACGTCCCCGTCGTAATAAGTATAACCCGAATATTGGCTTGGCAAGCTATTTCAACTACTCGCAGAGAACTCAAGGAACAGAAGGATCACGGGGAACACAAGGCACTCAAAGATCACGAGAAACACATGGCACTCAAGGATCACGAGAAACACAAGAAACTCAAGGATCACGAGAAACACAAGGCACTCAAGGATCACGAGAAACACAAGGCACTCAAGGATCACGAGAAACACAAGGCACTCAAGGATCACAAGGCACTCAAGGCACTCAAGGCAAGGAAGACAGGGAACACATGAGTTGATTGTGAGTGTAATACTTGGTGAAACTAGAGGAAATCTTCAAAAACTTTGTGAAAACATGCGTTATGTGAATGTGAAACTTGGTGAAACCTAATTAAAGTTATTGCGATATAAAATTGTAAAACTTGGTGAAACTTGTGTTATATTATTGTTGATTTGGAGTAATTACACCTGCAATGACATTACTTAATCATGTTTAAGGAATATGACGTAACTTATTCAACATGTTCTGAGATCCGTATCACGTGGACTGAAATTTTTTATAATCTGGATCACATTTTCTATCAATTGGGAAGGGAATACATCATTGTTAGATGTTTTTTTTTTGTATACACTACCTTGTGGGATTAGAAAATTTACATATGTCACGAAAACAAATTGTTTTTTACACTGACACATCTAAAACGTTCATATAAAACAGAATAAAGCTGGTATAACCATAAAATTAATCATCTAAGTACTATAAAACCAACAAAATCGCAAAAAAAAACAGAAAAGTAAAACTTAAAAGGTTTTTGTATAACTACAAACCAAGTGAAACTTTAAGCACGAAAATCATTTACAAATTTTTCCCGCCCAGCTTTTTGAATTTTCCCACCCAGCTTTTCGAATTTCGAGTTTCCCCAAAATCGACATAGACGTGTATTAAACCCATTGTTTTTCTGTTTCAGCCATTTATTCATTCTCTCTCTAGATTGATTTGGCGAGAACTCAGATCTGTATTATGTCCCTCTTCTTTCTAGAATTCTAGATTACTCAAAATCATGACTCATCTAGACGAGGAGTATAGGGAGATGAAGGCTTTGAAGAGAGAATTCGACATGCGTGGCTTCGTGGTGGATGCCCAGTGTGGAATTCCGACCAGATGCCCTTGTGGGGGTAGAATCATCAACGAGGTGTCTCGGGACCCGAAGTATCCAACCGATTATGATACTTTACCGGGGAGAAAATACTTCACTTGCAAAAATTTTGAGGTAATTTATGGATACTTTCGGGTTTTATTTATGTGCAGGTTTTGATACTTTTCTGTTTCACGTGTAGGATGGTGGCTTCCATTTCCGTCAACCATGGGTCTTCAGAGTCCAGGAAGAGGTCGAAATGTTAAGGAAGTGTGTGGATGCGATGCATAAGGAGATTTCCGAACTGAAGTATAAGCTTACCCGTCTGAATCCTACCACTCCATGAGATTCGGATTATGTTCCTCTTTTACCAATCTCTCATCTTATGTATTTATGGATTCTATGTTATGTTCACCCGAACATCTATCTATATCAGTTACGTTATGAACTATTCGTTATGAACTCGGAATTCAACTCATCCTATCTTAGATTGTTATGTTTTCGAAGGAAGTTAAGTTGAAAGTGAAACTTTGAAAGTTTCTCCAACCTCCCTTTTTCGAGATTTTTGAAGGAAGTTAGGTTTACGAAGTTAGACTAAGTTGAAAGTGAAACTTTGAAAGTTTCTCCCAATCTCCCTATTTTTCGAGATTTTCGAAGGAAGTTAGGTTTACGAAGTTAGACTAAGTTGAAAGTGAAACTTTGAAAGTTTCTCCCAATCTCCCTCTTTTTGGAGTTAGATTAAGTCTTAAAAGAGTTCGTCTTAAAAACACACAAGTCTTAAATAACTTAAGTTTTAAACAACAAACATACAAGTCATATGGAAATTCAAATATGTCATACAAAACGAATAGAGTTCAACCACAATAAAACAAATACAAACGGATTTCACTTCGTCTTCTTACCTACCTTCTTTGTCTTACTCTTCTTCGGCTTCAGGGATGTCTTCTTCTGGGCTGCCTTCTTAGATGCTGCCTTCTTAGCTACCTCCTTCTCAGCTGCTGCCTTCTTCTCAGCTGCTGCCTTCTTAGCTGCCTTTTTCTCAGCTACCTTCTTATCAGCTGCCTTCTTTGCACCTATGTTCTTCTTCACTGCTGCCTCTTCCTTTGCTGCTTCTTCCTTCGCTGCATCCTCATCCACTGCCTTCTCATCCGATTCCTCCTCCTCCGCTCCCTTTTCCCCCCGAAAACCCATGCTTCTTGTATTAACAGGATTACTCACTTTTTCTAAACCCTTTATCTTTTTCGAAGGCTCTGCTTCTTTTCCATCATCTATTCTCGCCCTCTTTTTTTTCTTCTTTGCCTTCTCAGCCTTCTCAGCCTCTGCATTTTCAGCCTCTGCCTTCTCATGCTTCTCAGCATCTGCAGTCATCTGTGCAGCATCTTCATCCATGTTAGTATCAACATCACCATGTTCCTTCTGCACTTCGTTTGTAACATCGCGAATGTAATTATTTACGTCATCTTCTTCCTCCGACTCCTTAGTCTCCTTATCACCACCATCCTCTTCCTCCGATGCCTTATCAACATCATCCTCTTCGTCCGAATCCTTATTCTCCTCCGACGGATTATCACCACTCGACCTAAGACTTTCACTTCGTCTTATAGAAGAGTTAGCTTGTCAGACAATGAAGAGACTGTTTTCTTCAATTCCTTCACAGTATCCTTCACAGCATCCTTCACAGCATCTTCGACTGCTTTCATAAGCTGACCGTCCGTCGCTTTTAAAGTCTCAGGTCCTGTATCCTCCACCGAATCTGCATGAGCCTTACTAGATTGTGCATTATTTGATGGTCCTCTGATAGTATCGGTGGGACCTTTAAGCTTTGTTGTGTGAGCCTCACAATCAATGCGGAACTGTTCTTCAAAGAAAACTTGTGTCGAGCCTTTCTGTAATATCTTCGACCAACGATCAACTGCTGCATCATCGGAGTCATCGGCCCAACAACTTTCCTTGTCCATCCCTATGGTTTCCAGAAGTTCCTTTTCAGCTGTTTTTGCTACCAAGATACTCTCAATATCCTGTGACAAATACACAAAAAAACATTAATTGCCTAAATTTCACCAAGTTTTCACAAGTCACATAAGTCCATTCACCAAGTTTTCATGGTTTCACCAAGTTTTCATCAGTCAAATTAATACAATTATCTCACCTTTGTATCAGTACCAAGTTTATCGTTCATAGCATTCACACTGAATTCATTGGTTCCACTTTTGCGTTTGTACTCGATCTTGCACATCCGTGGGCAATCAGGGCGTGCACCAATCACATTTTCTCGGAAATGGTTCCTTAAACTTGGGATTGCCTCAAAGGCCAACAACTACGAACACACAACAAATAAACATTAACATCAATTTAACAATAACACAACTAAGTACAAGAGAGCTTAAAAATACCTCCAAAGGAATAGGAAAGCTTGTAAAAACCCAACTCGTCGGCGCAACCCCGTCGGATTTCTCCAAGAACCTAGAGACATCCTTCCAGTTATGTTCGAGTGCATACCGCCCCCAAGGAAACGTTAAACACGCATCTAGGTCATCAACAATATTCAGGAAAAAACTGTCCACAGGTGATGCTGCCCCACCAGTCTTTCGGCCTCCGACGAGGATGCTGGCTAATAAGTACAGAACGGCCATCTTCTTACGATCCTCAGATGGCTTTGATTTCATTGAAAACATCTGCTTCTCCACGTCAGCGTATGTTACCATTTTCTCTGCAAAATACTTGTTCATGAATGCTGTATCACCCAATCTCTCATGGTTGGAGGGATACTCATGGCAGTATAGTCCAGAAATGAGTCCTAATTTCTGAGAGAGTATCGGATTGGGACGCCATTAACGATAAACCATAACTCATTTTTCTTTGCTACACAAGCTGATCGCAAAACGAGAAGCCACAGTGCCATCCACTTCTTCTTTCGGTTTTTGATATGGAAGAAATGTTGGAACTGTGGGTGCTCTATGAACCATACCATCTCCTTCTCTTTCAGGATTGTTTGCATATTTCTTATGCAAGTGTTCATGTAACATTTTCCTGAAATCTTTAAAGACTTTTGATACTGGCTTGAAGGAAAGTGAAACTTCAGCGGTTGCATGTCTTCATGCTTGTCATCTACAACCTGCACTCAAGTGAAAACCGGATCACATACGACATCTTACAACCATCAACATATAGTTTCACAAACTTCGAATTAGTTCAGCAATCACTCTCTTGATTTCACAAGGTTCGTACATCTATATTGTTGCAGTTCCACTCAGATTCACAAAGTCATCAACACATTACAAGTTTCACTTTGTTTCTCCAAATTACACTAACTTAAATTGCACTTAATTTTCCACAATTATCTAATCTTTCAAATCATGTTTTCTACTTACCAACTCTGCTTGCGACTCAGTTCCATGTGGTCGTACAATTATCGCCGTTTCATCAATTCTTCGGGGCTCCATTTTCTCTTCCACTTCTTTCGGCTCCTTCTCTTCTTCTATGTCTTTATTCTCTTCGTCTCCGGCTTCCTTCTCTTTCTCTCCTCCGTCTACGGCTTCCTTCTCTTTTTCTCCTTCGTCTATGGCTTCCTTCTTTTTTTCTCCTTCGTCTACGGCTTCCTTCTCTTTTTCGTTGGTTCCGGGGGAGACAGATTTGTCGATGCGGCTTAGGTTTGCTTCATCTCCGAATAATATAACCATAGCCGTGTCATCTCCTCCTACACTACTCGAGCCGTCTTCTTTTGACTTCGGATCGTCTTGATTCAACATGATTTGGTTTTGATTCTCGATTTACTAGGGTTTTCAGAATTTCAATTTGTGCGAACGGTCGACAAAAAGAGAAATTATGAGTAATTAGTTTAACCTATTCTTTATTCTTTATTTTTTTGGGTCGGTTCAGGGTCTGGGTTTGGATTGTCGTAGGTAAAGTTATAATTATCTAAGTTTCTCTTGGTTTCATGGTTTTTTAATAAATTTTCAGAGTTAAATAAAGATATATTAAATTTCAAATCCGGTCAGTTTCGGGCAAAAGTATCTCATCTCTTTTTTTCAAGTAGGAGTACCTGAGCGTTTGATTCCAAATTCTATCTATTTGGTTCATGTTTTTGTAACTTGTAAACGAGTGCATTTCGTCGTTCTTTACCATATTCATAATTACACATTCGGAAAAATAAAAAGAGATATTTAAGATTACCTCATATATTTCTAATATTTTATCATGTTTGTTTTCAACATTGATTCTTCTCCTCTATCTCCCTCTTTAGTGCCTTCTCAAGGCTCGAACTCGTCAAGCGTTTCAACATTTAAGTGCCTTCGCTGACCGTATGAGCTACAAGAGTTAGGCATCATAAATTGTTTGACATTTACTTAACAACAAAAAAATACCAACATATCAAATCTATTTATTTATCCCCTAGATATTATTTATGAAGTGATTTAACAAATATCATCTTTATAACCACTTTTACTAAAATAAAATTTGACATGGTATTCTAGAACTGATGACATAACTTATAAGTAAATAGTAGAATAAGATTTGCGCCTTGCGGAAGGTAAAAGTTATAAAAACATATAATATTAAGTAGGTCATATATTGTATGATTATGTAGCCATTTTGTGGTTTTTGTCCAAACAATCTAAATTTTTGATTTTCAGTTCGGTTATGATCTTGATTTTGGTTTAGTTGGGTAACTTTTTTAAAAATTGTTTGGTTTTTGGTTTGGTTCGGTTGCTGATTCTCTTAAAAAATATAAAAATTTCAAATACCCAAAATAAACAGATTAACAAAATTTAACTAAAATAACCGAACCCAAAATATTCAAGTTTTTAATAAAACTATACCAGTTCTAACCGAAAACCAAAAACAAAATCAGTTATTTTTGGCACAAAATTGAAAATAAAATTAAACGAAAATGTAAACCAGTTAATTTCAAAATGAATTTTCAAAATTTCGGTTAACCAAAAAATTCGGTTCGATTTGTTTTGCAAAGTCGAAAGTGCAGGCCTATAGAGTATTCGATGCACAAATTCAAACTTCATACTCATTTTCAATTTGTATCTACTTTACAATAATATGTATGCAAGTTAAATTTTTGATGGCAAACTTATTTATTAGAATGAAATATTAAAAACATAATATTTATTGTTTGATTTAGTTTATGCAAATAAATACACTAAATAGAATATAAATTTTCATATTAACATCCCCTAAATTTTAGAATTGAGTAATGACTATCGATAGGATGAAACCATAGACTTAGGCACAAAGTATATACGCAAAACACTTAAGATTTGATATTAAGACTAATAAACTAAAATTTGCCTTCTAAGTAGAGTTTGATATTATGTTCCTAGCGAATCTCCTACTCGATTTTGGAGCAAACATTTTTTCAATTGATTCTAAAGCTGTCATGTAAGGTAAATTGGCATCTTAATTAAGTGACAATTCAGGCTCTTTTGTAATTATTACTAACTGAAGGTTACAATTTTATAAACTTTATCATATACATTATGTTTGGGTTAATATAAGTTTTTATAGCAATTGGATTTTGGACTTACGAATTTTTCAATTGATTCTTATGCTGCCACGTAAGCCAAATTGATATCCTAAATTAAGTGACACCTAAGTAGGGTTCATTTTTAATTAATACAAAACTAAGGTTATAACTTTTTAAATGATTCTTAATTAATATATAAGGGATGACATGGCAATTATATGTAATGATAATTTCAGTTTTTGGTAAAATTTTGAGAATATGGTAATAACTCATAAGTCGTAATTAAAATAAATATATTTAAATATAACATTAAATAAAAATAATATAAATATAAAATATTTTTAAAAAAATGAAATATTATTTAAGTGTATTTTATAATCATACATTTTTTATTATTCAATAATATTTTCAAAATTATAGGAAATCTTTTTTAAAAAATCATAAACTTTTAATTGTAATATCATTTTTTATTTTTGATATCTACAAATTTTAGAAACTATGTTTAGTTTTTTATATTGATAATTATAAAATAAAATATTCAATTTTTTCTTTTAGTTTTATACAAGTTAATTTAATATATCTTAGCAAAAAAATTAATGAAAATCTAGCAAAACTGACAATTTTAATATAACTTAAGTATTATGTTTAACTAAAAATAACTTTCATATTAAAATTTTGGTAAAATAATAAACTCTAGAAATATTAATAAAATTTTATTTTAAATATAAATTAAATTTAAAGAAATATTTGCTGCACATGGTGCAAGAAAACATCTATTCTATCTATCATAACAAAGTTGGCTTTAATCTCCTCTTAGAGTGCCAACTCAGCATAGACTACTCCAGATTTTGACACCTCTTATAATATTTTTTTAACTTTTCCTGAGTTGTTCTATTGTTGAGATTTGGTTATTGGGCTAACTATTTACCTCTGGTATAAGAATTAGACTATTAAAATTTTTGAAAAGAGATCATATCTTATTAGGGTTTACTTCATTCTCGCTCTTGGAAATCCATCATCGAATCACCGTTCTTCCACTACAAGAAAACATCGATATACTGAGGGAAATTCCGAAGGAAAATGAGTTCCTCGGAATATTCCGAGGAAATTCTGAGGAAATTCCGAGGAACCAAAAATTTTGGGGTTCCTCGGAATTTCCTCGGAATATTCCGAGAAAATTCCGAGGAACGTCTGTTCCATCGGAAATTTCCGACGAAATTCCGAGGAACATGTGTTCCTCGGAAAAAACCGACGATAATCTGAGGATATATTATAGCAGTTAGATAGCCGTTGGGGGATTTGACTAAATTCCGAGGAAATTCCGAGGAACTAGCCGTTGCCGTCGGAAATTCCTCGGAATTGTCGGCAGATTTCATCTATAAATACTAGCACCTCTTATCCTCTTCATTCACTCCATATCTTCATCCTCTCATATACTATATTCACACACGAATTTGATTGAAAAAATCATGTCTTCTTCTAACTATTATTGTTCTTGGATCGATCGACCTCATTTGGATCCTAACACGAGATTGCTTACGGAAGAGTACCAAAGAGGTCTAAGCGAATTCATGGCAAAAGTTCAACAACTACCGGAAGCAAAAACGGGTATGTTAAGATGTCCTTGCTCTACTTGTAAAAATAAAAAGGTTATAAAAGAGTTAGATGTTTGGACTCATCTATATTTGAGAGGGTTTACACGAAGTTATAAAAGTTGGTATCATCATGGGGAAACTGATTATGAATATGGTAGTACTAGCGAACCTCAGACTGCGGATAGGTTAGAAGAACCAATTAGAACGGGTGTAGATTATGGTATAGGTACTGAGCAGATGGTAAATGATCATTTTAGAGGGGAAGATTTACCTAATGCAGAAGCTAGGAGATTTTATGATATGTTGGATGCTGGAAAGCAACCTTTGTACGAAGGCTGCAGAGATGGTCATTCAGCTTTATCATCTGCAACAAGACTGATGGGCATTAAAACAGATTATAATTTGGCTGAAGACTGTGTGGATGCGATTGCTGATTTTGTAAAAGGTATTCTACCTGAGGATAATGTAGCCCCTGGTTCATACTACGAGGTTCAGAAACTGGTAGCTGGTCTTGGTTTATCTTATCAGGTAATAGATGTATGCATGGATAACTGCATGATTTATTGGAGGGCGGATGAGCAGCGGGTTACATGCAAATTTTGTGGGAAGGCTCGTTATAGAGATACCAGTGGAAGAGTTCCGGTGCCATATAAAAGGATGTGGTATTTGCCTTTAACGGAAAGATTGCAGAGGTTGTATCAGTCTGAACGCACAGTGCAACCAATGAGATGGCATGCAGAGCATTCAACAGATGGTGAGATTAGACATCCGTCAGATGCAAAAGCTTGGAAGCATTTCCAATCAACTTATCCAGAATTTGCGTATGAGAGAAGAAATGTCTACCTTGGATTATGTACGGATGGTTTCAGCCCATTTGGGAAGCATGGGAGGCAGTATTCTCTATGGCCAGTCATTCTTACACCATACAACTTACCGCCAAACTTGTCCTTGCGTCGAGAGTTATTGTTTCTCTCCATTCTCGTTCCCGGGCCAGAGCATCCTAAGAGATCACTTGATGTGTTTCTTCAGCCACTAATATATGAGTTGCAACAACTATGGGCTCAAGGTGCTGAAACATACGATGTTTCGTGTAAAGAAAATTTTCAAATGCGGGCAGTACTTATGTGGACAATAAGTGATTTTCCAGCATACGGATATTTAGAAGTCCGTCGGAATTTCCTCGGAAAAAGTCAATATAATAATCGAATTTTAGGGATTTGATATCAGGGTTTCATTTTCTCGGAATTTTTCTCAGAAATTTCCGAGGAAATTCCGAGGAAAACAAGCATTCCACGGAATTTCCTCGGTAATTTCTGAGGAAATTCCGAGGAACATTAGCATTCGTCGGAAATTCCTCGGAAATTTCCGAGGAAATTCCGAGGAAACATGGTTTCGGAACCGAAAACAGCGATTTACGGATTGAATAAGACTTGTATAAACCTTGTTAAGTGTTTTGAATTGATTATGAATTCAAAAAATGCTATGGTACCCAAATTATAGACACTTTTCCGATTGTATAAACGAAATCCTTAAA